TAAAACTGTTGGATATTTTTCTATAAGGATTTTGCTGCCTAAATAGGTAGGGCAGGCTTATATGTATTACAGACTGCAGAACTGTTATATATACAGACCCAAGGCCGCCTTAGTTCTGCCTCTGATATTGGGTAGCACCACAATACTGGAGTATACAGGGGATCAGCAGTCTACACTATGGTATGAATTATTTTTCATATCAAGGAAATTTCCTGTAAAAGTCTTTACTTCAATATGAGCCCATCTTGAGCATTTAGTTTAAGAGAATAATGTTAAATGACACTCATTTCTTTATCTCAGAAAGATCTTTCTCCTTAATTTCTCACTTAGTTTAATCAAGCATACTGTATATAAAATGAGTTTGGGAAGATTGTTAAAAAAGGCGGGGAGCTACTTGTCATGCCACATGCTTTTTTCCCCCCAAGTTACAGCATAATTCATGTTTAGCATGTATGTCATCACTTCTCTCTCTGGTAGTGTGAAAGTGCAGATGAATGCCAAGAGAAAGATGGCACAGGATGGTACTTGTTCACTTCAGCACTGATGTCATGTTCTGTGCTGGCACAAAAGGGATGCTTCTTTTCATCAGAAAGTGTGACTGCTTTTCAACAGTGGTTACACATCGGTGCAGGTATATTGTAATTAAGGTCTTCAGTTTCCCAAGATGGAAAATGTTATAAACAGAACATTCTTGGCCTCAGCTCTTCTATGTAGATGAGATGTTTATGAGGAATTTGTCCAATGGCATAACCACCAAATTTAACTAATGGGAACGTCTACACGAGTGAATTACTCCAGAGTAAACCCACCTTGGACAGGCATCTATACATGCAAGGATTCAGGACCAGATTTGTTGCTCCTGGCAGAAATCTCTCCTTGGGTGCTAGTCCAGGGACTGGTAGGGAGCATGGGGCCAGGAGACAGCTGTCTCCTGGTGGGGGGCTGGAAGATTGCCCCCTGCCCCTGGGAGCTGCCTGCTGCTGGGCAGGCTCCAGTGGTGAAGCCGGACAGGGACAATGTCCGCAGCAGGGAACTCCTGGCCCCCGCTCCCCAGTCAAGGGCCGGGTGCTTGGTAAGATCTTCAGGGGAGGGGCAGATCCCTGCACCTTCACCGATCTATCAGAGGGGCAGCTCGTAATGAACCCCAAGCTGGGCAGGGAATCCTGAAGCTCTTTCCAAACCCCATTATATTATATGATTGGGGCAGGGGTTGGGACCTGCCCCTGACTGGGGCACCCCCAGGCTTTGTTGGGAAGTTTGCACATGCAGCTCAGAGCTGGCTGGGGACTGCCTGCAATGAGCTAGTCCCCAGCCACCCCCAGGTGGCACATATAGGTTTCCCTGTGGAGCCTGAGGCTGACTGGGACTGTCCCAGTCAGGGGCAATTACAGGGGAGTGACTAGGAACTAGTCCCCGCTCCATGATCATTGACTGGGGGCTGGGAGCTGCCTGCTACCAGGGCAGGGGGCATTGTCCCCTTAGTGGCAGAACCTGCCTTGGCAGCAGGGAGCTCCTGGGGACAGGGAGCAATCTCTTGCCTTCAGCTGACCAGTACCAAATTTGCAACTGGTTGGCTGTCTGCATGTGCTCTACTGTTCTGTAATTGCTCAGCAGTTAATTTGCTACTTGCATTTCCCAAATAGAGGAAATTACTGGCAGTAAGAGTCAGCATGTGTAGACAATGACACTTACTACACAGTAATTAGCTCTACTGTGCAGTAAGGCATCTCACGTAGATGCGCCACTCAACACGACTTTGCGCAAGCCTATCTACTGCTTCATATGACATATTTGTTTTCTTCAGGGTTTTTTTAATTTATGCTTTCTCTTCCCATTTTCTTCTCTTCTTATCTAACAATATCTCAACTGACTACAAGTCAAGGAAAGTTAATTGTGCTAGGGTAAGTTTATGATCCACAAATCTTGATCTGAAGATGCTTTGGTTTGGCTCAGTTTGATTTAAATTTATGTCAGTGAGAGTTGGTTTGGATTTTGTTTTTCAGAATTCTTTCTGGACTTTTAAGCCTCAGTATTTTTACATTTTTATTAATAGAAGTACCAGCCTTTACAAGTCTATCACAAGAACACTTTAGATAGAAAATGAGATGCTTTGTAGTCACTTGTGCATATGCTGACATTAAGGTTAAGTCTATATATAGCCTCTGTAGCAAGGTCTTGACCACCGCCAAGAAAGAAGCCCTTTTCATTTGCACGGGCTCTATATGCACTCCCCTAGTATGCAGCAGTCTTGAGCACAGACTTCAGCATCTGCCTGGAGACGGGGGATCTTGCCAGGAGTGGTGGGTAGTGGGGTACAGTGAAGGTCATGGACTGTCAGCTTCATTTCTCTTGTGACTCCTTATGTCTGGGTCTCCTGTGGTGTTCAAGGCATGGTTGGAACCCCAGGCTGGAGTGGGACACCAAAAAGGGAGCCAAAAAGGGAGCAGGTAAGAAAGAGATGCTTTATCTGCTGCCTTTGATGCTGTCCCCAGCTGACCTAGGGGTAAGGGGTCCTGCCTTCTGTCACACTCAAGTTGGAGCAAGAAGGGAGTGGCTGAATGGGGTTCTGGGTTCCTGCTCCCTCCCCCTTCACTGCATTTTATCTGCTGGCCTGAGGGCTCCAGCTGTTGGAAGCCACTGGGTGGAGTACCAGGTAGAGCTGGGGATGGTGGCATAAGTGTGTTTATCCCCTCCTCCCCTTTCCAGTGCCTGCTTCTGGACCATGGTAGATGCCTGAGGAGGCGGCCAGACAGAAGGCAGAAGTCCTTAGAAGGGGGAGACAAAAGTCTTACCTGAGTGTAACCTGTTCTGGAGACTTCAAACTACTGAAAAATTAGACCCTAGTTTTTTGTTTGTTTGTGTTCTTTTCTGTTTCAGTTCTCTGTTTCTATTCCCTGAACAAATAAGCCTACAGATTTTGTTCTTCTGTTAATGAACTCTGATTTTTTTTTTCCTTATCATGGCTTTTTCAAAAAAGAAAAATAAAAGTTAAGAACTTATAATTGTTTCCCAGGGAAAGGAATAAGCTGTATAATACATATTCAGTGGTGAGTATGGTATCTTTACCACCTTTGTTCTACTATGCAGATCTTATTATTTGGTGAGAAGAACTGTTTTGGTTCTTAACATTGTGGTCCATTAATATCTAGGGCTGTGAAGTCATGAAGGAGAGTACAATTATAATTTTTTTAAACGATAAAGCATTATATTACAAATGGCTTATTTTGGTTTTTGAACATCAGAATGACCAAAGTCTTTTTCTTCCATCCCATTGATTAAATGAAATGTCATCCAAGTAGACTGCATACTTTGATGAAACTGTATTTAGTAAAGAAATGCTTGGTGTTTCATATAAACAAGGAGAGTGGGTCTCTGGCCCACAGGATTTAGCTGTATTGGTACCCTAAATTCAATGATGTCTATGTTGACGGACAACTTTGCCTGTCCTCAGTTCCAGAGTCAGGGCCTACGTAAAGAAATGTCACAAGGAGGAGAGACAGAAGCAGATACAAGTTGAGGACAACGAGAGGGAAGTTCAAGGGTTGTAATAACTGAGTTAGTTGAAAATGTTCATTTATATTTTGGCTGTTATACATATTTTGGCTATTTTTATTATCTTTTAAAAAGGGCAGCAGAAGTGACTTTTGGGATTAATGACAGCAAGCTTTAGAAATGGACTAAGGCAGGGCATTCTACACCACTGAGGCAACACAGAAGAATATTTTAGAAATACAAAGTACTTAGGTATATTATGATCTTAAGGGCGCTGTGGCACAATGGAATAAAGCATCTTGTTGCAGCTGCAGAAGGAGGAATTCAGGGCTCAGTTGCATTTGGACCTGTGGCTGCCTTCAGTCAACACATCTAGAAAAGCACCAAGTCATTCTTGTGGATGACTTAAAGGCAGTTGAATATGAATGCTGCTCATATTACCCCCTTGTATACAGTTGGCTATAGAAGTTAGTATGCCTTACCTATGCTAGGGTAAGGCAGACCTTAATGACTGCTGACAATTAATTTACTTCCATTTTGTCTTTCATTCAGCTTTGAAATTGTTAGCATTTGGGACTGATCCAGCAACCCCTAAAACTTCAAGGGTAGGCTTAGCTGTGAAGAGAATGATGTTTGGCTGCTATTAAGCAATGAAGACCAGGTGATTGAATGATCCACGTAAAAGAGACCATTATATGATGCTTAATTCCTTTTGAACTGCATTGTCTTATACATACCATTAATGAATTCCATGTCTACGGTTATGGTTCACTTAATTTTTAATCCATTTCTAGCGTAGCACAGCTATGAAATTCTCTCTCCTCTTGCTTTCAAAAACCACTTTTATTTTGTTGTTCAAATGATTGAGATTGCACAAAAATGGCTTTATCTCCCGAGAAAAGGGGTAATTTGACAAAATATTTCTGTCATTGAGAGAATTTCAATTAAGATTTCTAACGAGAGCTTTTGCTGTAACCAGACCTTCACAGCTAGTTTGTTTGATTTGGACTAGAGAGTTTCTAGATTGAATGACATGCCTCATTCCAGTGTCTGAGTTGATGACTGTGTTAAGATGGGCTGATGAATATTAATTTCTTCTACATAAAACCCTGACACTGAGACATTCTTGTTGTCTGCTTGTTTCATGAAATAATGAAAGGTTTTGGTGGTTTCCTCCCAAGTGTGTATATTGGCAGATGGATCTGACAGGCATATTTCACACAGCATGTGGTATAAACTGCTTTGTTTTTGTCATTTCTGGAGTCCATGGAAGATGCCTTTATGATCCTTTGACTGAACATACTTGATGCCACAAACTCCTTTTGAGACTATTCCATAGCTTATTTGTAATATGCTGATTTTCCCCTATTTCTTCACAGAAGCATGAAGAAACTTGTTTTTACTGCTGGTATTTCTTTCAGTGTCCAGTTAAACAGCTATGCAATTTTTTCTAATGAAATGTTATGGCAATCTGACTAAAATATCGTTGTATCTTCATTTCCCTATAGGTTTCAAGAGCTTAAGCAAGCACCTGAATAAGCTTTTGAAACTTGTCAGGTAATGTAATTTTGCAATGTTATTATGTGTGTGTTTCAACTGGCACCTTGTGTAACAAACTGTTTGTGGAACTGCTTGCCTTTTGGGGAGCCTTTTGAAAATTGGTCCAAAACTACAACATAAACACAAATTTATAGGAGGCAGAATGAAGTTTTTTTTTACTTTTTTACTAATTTTGGACCAGAAGTATATTGGCTGTAGAGGAATTTTCCTATATTGGTTTATGTTCTAGTGGTTTGTTTATCTGAAAAATGTAAATGATGGCAATGCTTTGTATTTACCCCCTCTACAGACAGATGTCCTTTTTACCAGATCTCATATTAACAGCTCTTAAAGAAACCAGTTTTTTGCTCACTGGTGTTTATTCTCTTTCCCCAATAGGTATTGCCAGAAGCAATCTTCTGAAATTTAAGAGCCACTACCCATTTTTAGATAATACATGACCTTGGTCTAAAGGTTATATGAGGCCTGTATTGTGAGGGCCAACCCTTAATGGCCTGATTTAAGTTATATTCTTTCCTTACTTTTTTTCCAAAAGTATATAGTTTATAGTTTATCTCATTTTAGTTCCCCTGGCTGAAATCGGAGAAAAATACTAATGTAATTATTTTCAAACCATAAATAAATTTTACTTAGATGGGGACATAATAATTGGTGTGCTGAGATTTAAGAAAAAGCAATAATTTGGAATTTAATACAAGTTGGTAAATACCCTCGTATGTGATATAACCTGAAAAAAGTACTGAGTGAAATAATAATTACAAAGGTGACAGTGAAGGACATTAACTAGTGGTATCTACTATACCTGTAAAGAGCAAAGGTCATCTTAATTTATAAAAAAGGGTTAGGGAATATTAGTTTGCTTTGTCATGCCCTCTATAGCTAAATCCGCATTTACAGAAATAAGTCTGTAATTTGCCTCTGCTGGCTGCTAGTGTAATCCTGCTCACAGCAGAATAATGAAAGCTATACTATAGGTAGGATTCACGCCTGTTTTAAGAAATGGATCATTTAATCTTTACAAAGGGTGATACATGAGCTGTCACAAATATTGCTACACTAGTGCTAAATTAGTGGCCTAATTTTGTGGGGGGTAATGTCACCAAATCAACTACTAACATTTGGAAATAGTTTAATCTTCCAGACGAAAATGTAATTTATAGTGAAAAATACATTAAGTGTTGTCTTCTATAAATATGGAGATTGTGGTCTAAACTATTCCCCTGCTCTGTACCCTGATATCCTGAGAAGGAGGCAGAGGAGGAGGAGGAGATATTTCTTGTCATCCGTTTCTGTTCTGAATCTTGCTTTTCCATTTAACTCATTTCTTCTTAACACAAACATTGCCATGTTGATGTTAATCTCCATGTTAGAAGGATCCCAAGTGGCAATTAATGTTACAATTTTGTGGCAGCTAAACACAACACATTTCAGTGAAATATGTCTGCTATGAACTGATGAATTCTCCTTATTCAGAAAAAGGTTATGGGAAGACAGAAGCAGGAGATAAACTTTCTTAGGTTTGCAGTGCCTCACACTTTCCTTCTTTGTTTTAAGGAATGAGGAAATTCTTATTTTGCTTCTTGTACTACCTCCAAGCATTCACAAAAAATGCCTTTTAATCTTTTATTGCAGTTCATTGTAGGGATAGCAAGATATTAAAAGTTTCTAGGCATTTAGAAAAAAGCATTAACAAAAGAGTCCAGAGTAGGTGCTTGCACCACCTCTGGAGGGAATCTATTCCAGGCCTTGGGGGCTCAGACAGTAAAGAATTTTTTCCTTATGTCCAGCCTAAAACAGTCACAGAGGAGTTTATGACCGTTGGTCCTTGTTATCCCTTGGGGTGCTCTGGTGAACAGATGTTCCCCCAGATCATGATGCACACCCCTGATGTACTTATAGGCTGCCATCAGGTCACTCCTGTACTTTTCCAGGCTGAAGAGTCCCATGGCTCTCAGCCTTTCTTCATAAGGCCTATTCTTTTGCCCTCTGATCATGCACATGGCTCTCTTCTGGACTCACTCAAGCTTCTCCACATCCTTCTTGAATTGTGGAGCCCAGAATTGGATGCAGTACTCCAGCTGAGGCTTCACCAAGGCCAAGTACTTCAGTAGGATGACATTCTGAGATTTACTTGAGAAGCATCTATGGATGCGAGCCAGGTTTGGTTTGCTTTACCGGCTGTGACATCGCATTGATGGCCCATGTTCATCTTATAGTTAGGCATGACTCCCAAGTCTCTTTTGGCCATGGTGCTAGTGAGCATAACACTGCCGAGCCTATGAGCGTGCTGCGGGTTCCCCCCCCCCCCCCGAGGTGAAGTACCTTGCATTTATCAGTATTGAATGTCATCAGGTTTGTATCCATGCACTTTTTAAGCCTATCCAAGTCAGCCTGGATCATCAACCTATCCTCAGGTATGGATGCTCTACCCCAAAGTTTAGTGTCATCAGCAAACTTGGCCAGTCTGCTTCTGACACCAGTATCCACATAATTGATAAAGACATTAAAGATAACAGGTCCAAGGACAGAGCCTTGGGGGACTCCACTGGTCACAGAGCACCATGATGATTTACTTCCGCTGACTACCACTCTCTGGGTCTGGCCTTGGAGCCAATTCCCTAGCCGTTGGACTGTGATGTAGCCGAGGCCACAGTTGGCAATTTTTTTCATGTAACTCTGGTCTCCCAGCCCTCTCTGTAAGTTGCAACTGTAGTATTTCTTATTAATTTTGAAAAACTAGTCATAGAGTCCTATACAAGTAGGGAGGGAAGGGGCCTGTAGAGGTCATTTAGTCCACCCCCCAGCCTGAGGCAGGATTATCCATATCCAAACCAGCCTATGCAATCCATAATATAACTCTGCATAAGACTACCATCAACCCTGACACAACTTAGATATAACACCCTAATCTGCCACAAGTAAAGCAGAGGGTCCATGGGAGCCAATGTCTTGCTTCTATAAAATGTTGTCAATATATGCTCAAGAGATTCCAGGTAGACGGCCATGTCCCCAGCTATAGAGGAAGGCAAAATCCCCCATAGTCCAAACCAATAGGACCATGAGCTAAAATTCTTTCCTAACCCCCAAATATGGTGATCAGTCTGACCCTGAGTAGAGGGACAAGATGGTTTTGCCAGAAACATCTGGCTTTGGTCCTAGCAGAATTGGCATACTCCAATCAAAGTCCCCAGCTCTGGCTGTAGCCAACACCCAAAACCTCTAAGGGAGACTTAAAAACAACCTGATGTATATAGCAGGAAGTAGGAGAGGGAACAACCAAAAAATCCCAGAAGCATGGAAAATACCCATAGTAGAATATAGGCATAGCTATGCCTAGATCATCCCCAAACAGTGGCTGTCCAACCTGTTCTTGAATATCTCCAGAAATGGTCAACAACTTCCCTAGGCAGTCTATTCTACTGCCTCACTTTTCCCAATGTGAAGAAGTTGTTTCTGTATATCCAATCTACACTTACTTTGCTGCAACTTCAAGCCAGTGGTCTGTATCCTTCTCTCTGCAGCAAGAGAGAAAAGGTGCTTTCCCTCTTCTTTATGCAAACCCTTTGAATATTTGAAGACTGCTATCATGTCTTAAGCACCTTTTCTATAACCTGAACAGGCCTAGATCCTTCAGCCTCACCTCATATGTCTTGCTTTTCAAGCCCTTTGTCATCTCTCTTGCCTGCCTCTGGACCCTAACTTCTCCTCATCCTTTTTTTTAAATATAGAGCCCAGAACTGCGCACAGTATTCCAGATGAGGCCTAATCAGTGCAAAGAAGATAAGCATTATCACCTCTTGTATCCTACACCTAATGCTTCTATTGGCTTCATTACACTGCAGACTCATACTGAGTCTGTAATCTACCAAGCCTCCCAGACACTTTTCCATAGTGCTGCCATCCAACCAGTTGTTTTTCATTTTGTATTTATGCTATTGATTATTCCTTCTTATGTGTAGCACCTTGCATAGCTCTAGCTCAATTTTCCAGTCTGTTGAGATCCTTCTGAATTGCGTTTGCATACTCCAATGTGTCTGCAATCCTTCCCAGTTTCACGTTATCCACAAAGTCGCTCAGACATGCTCAAGAGACTTTCTATGCCAGCATCCAAATCATTAATAAACACACTGAGTAATACTGGGCCCAGGACAGACTTCTGTAGGACTCCACTTGAAACCGTCTGCCATTCTGACATGGACTTATTAATAATTATCCTTTGCTTGTGGCTATTGAGCCAGTTATCTATCCACCTCATGGTACTTTTATCTAGCCCACATTTCTTCAGTTTGTTTTTGAGAAGGTTGTATGCAGCTTTGTCAAAAGCCTTGCTGAAGTGCTGAAGTCCAGATACACTATTCCCTTTATTCCCTTCATCCATCCAAGTTGTTACCTTGTCAAGGAGGAGACCAAGAGGTTTTTTTCCTATGACTTTTTTCATAAATCCATGCTGGCTGCTTGTAATCAGTCTTTCATCCTCCAGGTGCTTGCAAATGGCCTTCTTTAGGCTATGCTGTAGTAACTTCCCAGGTATTGAGGTGAAGCTAACCCCTCTGTAGTTCCCTGCATCCACCTTTGGACCTGGCTTAGAGATGAGTATTATGTTCACCTTTTCCAGTCCTCTGTACCTTGCCCATCTCCCATGTTTTCAGAATGTGCCCCAAATTGGAGACAGGCACCTGGAGTATGTTCTTCCTCAGGATCAGGTTCCTGAAGCCCCAGGAGTGGCAAAGTCCTGATCCTTTGGGGCAACAGCCCTGGACAATGCCTATTTCTGTCAATCAGTTGTATCAGCTATGCGGTGACACATCATGGGACAGCTTATGTCTCCACAGAAACAATGCTTGTTTGTAGCTTCTGAGCCCTTCTTTAATGATCACCACTGACAATACTGCTACTTCAACAAGTTTTGATGCTTACTATTTGAATACAATCTGCTATTTATACTTCATTGTTCAGAGCCTCCAGTTTCTCCCATTTGATTTAACTTTTTTATTACT